GGTCAAGCCCTACGATGCCTATGACCAGGTCGACTTTGACGTCCCCATCGGGAGACATGGAGACTGCTATGACAGGTACAATACATATAATACATGTTAATTGCTGTGGTCATATAGAGACGGGAACTTTTTGACATTCAGGTCCATTTCCAAGCCATGCTATATACAAGCTATAATATGCACATAGGTCAAAATGATCTCCTATCTATGTATGTATGGTCATCAAAACGATCAGATTAACAAGTTATGTGACAACAGTGGCAGCTGAATCAAGGTTCTTCAGATAATTTGTTAGGCTGATTAGCTATTTTCCTAGAACTGGGAGTTAAGAACTCAAACATTATTGGCAGTGTAAAAATGTCAGGTGTAGATGTTGTTTGGTTGCCAAAGCACAGGGGGAGGAAACACCAGGTTTTAGCATTCTGTAGTGTCCTGATATGGGTATGCAATCCATATTCAAAGAATCACCTATAATTATGTATGTGGCATGTAATGTAGTTCTGGTAGAAATGTGCCAGTAGAAATGTGCCAGTAGTGTGCCAGATTCTTCTTTTCCACATCCATCCTCCGTGGGCAAGGTCTGTAGATGAGACCGTAGGAATGTTTTTACCTGTATATACATTGATGTTTTTCAGAAGCTAGCAAGGGTCACAGTATTTGGCAAAATGCCTCTTTGGTCTGTGTGAGCCATTTATGTAATAGTTACATGTACATGTAATGCCACTCTGTCTGTGTGTCTGGCTGCCTTATCTGTCTGTCTGTGTGGCTGGCAGGTACCTGATAAGAGTGGAGGAGATGAGACAGAGTCTCAGAATCATTCACCAGTGTCTCAACAAGATGCCCGAGGGAGAGGTTCGGGTGGACGACGCCAAGATCATGCCACCTCGCCGAGCTGAAATGAAGGTCCCAATGTCTAACAACAATGCCTTCTATGCTCCCTTACAACCGCCCTTACATTCAGGAACTAGTGCTTTCCCCACACTCGTGTTCTCTTGTCTCGTGACTACTGTACGCTTCTGTCTTTTGTTGTGATGCTAATTTCCAGAGCACACACGTTAAAGCTCTTTCATGTATGCGACTGCTGTTATATAGAATTCAATGGAGGCACTGATCCACCATTTCAAGTTGTTTACCGAGGGTTTCCAGGTCCCTCCTGGAGCAACCTATACTGCCATTGAGGCTCCAAAGGTGTGTGGTGAGTTCACTCTTCTGACGTCCACTTCTTCTCTGAGAGGACTCAGTCATGAGCTCGTGTCCCATGCTGTGTGTAATTGATGTGCGGTGTACATAGTGTGCAGTCCCTCCTGAGAATGGTAAAGAATTGCCACATCCCGTCTCCTCCTTCCACATTCCTAGAGTTGTATAGTGTCCTAATGGTGGTGCCACCTAGGAAACAACTTTAGTAGTCATAGGAATGGTATGCCCCTGTTTGTGTAACTGCCTATGGCTTGAGATGAAGAACATGGCGTACCTTGCACACAGTGAATTTATGGAGAGAAGATGGTTGTTTCTCTCTACAAGTGGTCCCTGCCCACAGAGTGGCAGTGGATGGTTCCCATACCACCATGCTATACTGTGGAGGATGGCCCAATAGCAATGTGTGCCATTCATGCTATTGTGTTCTGTTTGTGTTCTTTCTCTCTCAGGGTGAGTTTGGAGTTTACCTGGTGGCAGATGGGAGCAGCAAGCCCTACCGCTGTAAAATCAAGGCCCCCGGATTCCTACATCTGGTGAGTACATGGATGTATAGTGTATGTATGTTGTAACTCGATGCATAGGCAGATTCACATTTTCTTGGTTTTGCTGTGAATTTTGTTGCGTGTTTTATTTGGCTCCAGGCTGCTCTGGATTTCATGAGCCGTGGTCACATGCTGGCTGACGTGGTGGCACTCATAGGTGAACAATGAATAGAACTCACATCCCTCTAATGGTGTCATTGGTTTTCACCTCCCTCAACATACAGGCACCCAGGACATTGTGTTTGGTGAAGTAGATCGATGAACTGCCAGCTCTGTGTTTGTGTTTCACTTAGTATGTATGTTTGGTTGTTTGTTACGAAGTGATAACACGTGTATAAAACCGACGCTTACGGCCCTGGGCAGTGGTGGAATTAATTTTATGTAGAGCAGAATGAGCGCGAACATTGGAGGTGGTCATGGAAGGATCTGGGAGTTAGCAAGTCTCACTAGGTCTGCGACGCCTCGTCGGTTCTCTCGGGACATGGACAGGAACGGGACGACTGGGGGCGTTGTCTGTCCCAACACGTTCGTGCCTCAGTATGCGGTTGACTCGGAGTACCTGAAGTCCCTCCTGGTAGTACAGCTCCATCCGGGCGAACTAACTGAGCTCGTCGTCTCTCCCTCCTCCTTCGTTGCAGAGGAATGCTCCGAGGAGCGTCGTCTGACCAACGACAGCGGGATCCAGAGCCCCGATAGGGAGATCTCGTCCTCTCCTCCCAAACCGGCTGAAACGACGCCCGACTTCTTCCAAGAGTGCGAGCGGGAGCTCCTCAAATTGTTTCAGTTCCTTGAGGGTCATCTGACATCGGTGGAGAGGGACCTGGATACCCTGGCCATGGCACCCATCAAACGAAGCAGGAGCAAGAGCACCGGGGATTCGTGCACGGAGGAAGACGAGGAAGAAGCAGGGGAGACCACCCCTCTTGCCGGCCAGATCCAGGTGGGGCCTACCGCCGCCACCCTATTCGTGAGACTCCAGCAGACGCTGTACAGCCTGAAGGAGAGTATAACAGACAATTTCAGTCACCTGGACGAGCTGGTGGAGATGCATGATGACGGCACCACCTCCCAGCAAGGCAGGCAGTTCTTGGACAGATACTCCCCCACCAAGATCAATCTGGAACGCAGAATCGACTCCGATCTAGACAAAGTCCATATAGAGCTAATAGACCGTGGTTGGTTGGACGTGTCTTCGGATCAGGAGACAGAGTCACAAGTCACAGCAGAAGTAAGAAGTTATCGACCTGGCTGCCTGACACTGCTGCATGTGCTGCTGTTTGTGATGGTGTGGTGTGCCCTTAGTTTCATGTATTACTACTCAGAGCAGCACCCGACATGGGCTGTTGCCCTACGTCTACTTCGCAGCCCCTTCCTAATCGTTCTTTTCTTCTATTTCTACGGGATCAACATCAAAGTTTGGGCCAACAACTACATTGACTATGTTGGGATATTTGGATTTCCATGGCGGGGTATCCCGACGGCCAAGTTTGCATGGAAGGTGGCTGGGATGTTTTGTATAGTGTTCACGGCCATTCTGGGCACCCTACTCTTCCTCAGTATACTTCGGAGGGACGTCCCTGTGAAATTGGCGGCCACGATTATGTGGATCCTACTACTAATGTTCCTGCTCAACCCGAGGAACCAGTTTCTACGCAAAGGACGGTTCATGTTCATACTGGTGGTGGTCCGGATTCTCATAGCTCCGTTTCACACGGTCTACTTTGGAGACTTTTGGTTTGCCGACCAGCTCAACAGTCTGGTGGGGATCCTCCTGGACATGCAGTACTATGTCTGTTTCATGGCGTCTGATTCATGGTCCGACCCTCCCAATAAGGCCATCTGCACGACCAGTTCAAACGGCATCCGTCCCATTGTGTCGTCACTCCCTGCACTCTGGCGATTCATGCAGTGTCTGCGTAGTTTCTATGACGAGCGGAAATTCAGATACTTGGTGAATGCTGTCAAGTACTTCACGACGTTCCCCGTCATTGTATTTGCAACTCTGTTCTCTGCACGGGTGTCGACAGCATTCAGCCTCGAAGCACTCGACGTGGAAAATGTGGACTGGATCATCATTCTATGGGGTATTTCTGCCTTTGTCCATGCTCTTTACACATTTTTCTGGGACGTATACTGTGACTGGGGACTGTTCCAGCTACAACACTGCACCCTCCTTCGACCTAAACGTCTCTATAGCTGGAAGAGTTTCTACTATGTTGCTATTGTGGTAGACTTGATCCTGAGGTTCTCCTGGACACTCAAACTGACGCTGGCCCTAGCGTGGCACGTCGACTCTGATGTCATCTACACTGCCTTGGTGGCTGGGGAAATGTTCCGCCGTTTCATGTGGAACTTCTTTAGAGTGGAATACCAGCAAACGTTAACTCCATAGGAGTTTTTTTTGTCAGTTTTGTGCAGTTACAGGACCTGTTCATGTGTGTGCGTTGCAACTGTGTATGCACCTACCTAAATACCTAGCTAGCTAGCTAGCTAGCTGTGTACAAAGTGTGCGATCGACCCATGACTGCGCATGCGTGTAATCGCCCTTGAAAAGGGCGGAGCTGGCTCCGTAGATCGACGTTTACCGCTCGTCGCGATGCCAGTGATCAAGCCACAGAATATCTCGACATTCAGCAGCGAGGATTCCAACCATCCTGCACGCAATCTACTAAGCTCTGACACGTACCGCAAATGGAAATGTGCGACTGGCGGAGAGAAACAAGCCGTTGTCGTATTTGAGGTGGGCTCTATTTAGGAAGATCCTTTAGCCCATGGCATTTTGCTTTTACAGTTGCGGACACCAGTGCAAATTCGTAGTGTGGATATTGGTAAGTGATATCTTTTACTGCGGGGGGTATTATTGATCATCACACACAGGCAATGAAGGAAGTGCATTCGTGGAGGTGTTGGTAGCACGCTCCTCAGCTGCTGATGACTACAAGGTACATACACGTGTAATGTTGGCATAACCATGCTCATAGAGGAGTAGAGTGTCTCCCAGTGTAGCGTTTGTTATTACTGATACCCGTTGGACATTGTGGTATATAGTCAGGCTCAAGAGAATTACTTTTGAGCTTATCTTGGTTGTTTAAAATCAGCAGTACAAAAGCATTCACTCACAAGTTTAGTTGATGTGTATGGAAAACTGATACGATTCTGTACAACCAAGAAATGACTCTTTCCTAAGAGTGCGGTCTAGGCACAACACTACTAGGGACTGTATTGTGCACTATTACATAGGTGTTGCTGATGGCCTCTTCTTTCATGACCCCTTCTGATAGCAAGACCTGGAGGAACACGAACAGAGTTCGCATGTTTGGTGAGTTCATTCCTGACCTCCCTCTGTGTCTGTCTATCTTTGTGTGCCCGGAGAGGTGTAGATTAAAGGGGGTGTGTCAGTACACAAAACGTTTATAAACGTTACTAAAGATAGAACTAAACAATAGGGCCCAGTGCAAGAATCCAAGTGTCTATTTTCAGTAACAGTTTCTAAATTTAGCTCTTGCATACTGCCACATTCCCCCCTTTAACTCTGCAGGGCCAGACAAACTGTCAAAGGGAGTGGTGGAGCAGAAGTGGGACAGGGTTAAGATTGTCTGCACCCAACCTTACAACAAGGTCAGGTAACTCCTCCCTCCCTTCTCCCCCGCCCTGGTGCACGCCAACCAAAGAGACTTCCAATGTGTAGTAGTACATGAGTGCATAGCCCCGCCCCGTCCACTTGCAGCGAGTCCAATGCATTTTTAGTGAGCAAACGCAAGCTAGTCATAGAGTGTGACTCCCTGGCATGTGTATGCATTGTCAAGTGGCAGTGGCGGAGGCACCGATCATAAATTGCAACAGGCGATCCGTACAACTAGATAGGCTCGGTTCACTTTTCAGGCAGGAGGATTAGTTCTCCAAGTTGGAGAATTTGAGAACGCACCATAATAATATGTATATTACCCATAATGCTTGAGACAGCAAGTATACATGATACTGTCACCAATAATTAACTCCCTCTCTCATCTCCCACCACAGAAGGAGCAGTATGGTCTGTCTTTCCTGACCCTCCACTCTCCTCCTGATGACTCTTCAGGCACGGGAGACGAGGAGAAGACCACACCCAAAACCACACCCACCAAACCCAAATTGGGAGCCTTCTCGTTGAAAGAGGAGCCAAAAGCGTTACCAACTGGTAAAACTACAAACCTATGTCCGTGTTTTGATCAGAATTGATGTAACCTTAGTATAACTTTTTGAACTGTCCTGCACGGCTGGCAGGCTTATACTGTTCTGATGGCAGTCGAGGTTTTCCTGATCCATAGCTTCATTATACACTAAACTCCTGTCAAAGCACTCTTTATCTTGTATACTACAGAAGATTTTTGTTGAGCAATGGTCCTATTGACTTAACAGCATCCAGTAGTTCCATTAGTGCTCTCACTATGCATTCCCTGTAACATGTTCCACAACTTTCTCTTTGTCAAAACTGTTTAGCGAGTTATGCACACTCGTAGATAGAGAAAGCTGCATGGTGATGAGAGAGAATACTTACAGTACACAGTAATGTGTGATCTTTCATTATTGCAGGCTCCCTGTTCTACAAGAAGGAGGGCAGCAGTTCGCAGGGGTCAGGAGTGAGTGCCGCAGCCCAGGCTCGTAGCGCCACTGCTGCTGCCCTCCAGAATAGCCCCTCCCCTAGCCCCGCCCCTATCAGGGAGAAGAGGAGGAGGGAGGGTCATGGGAGGAGGGAAGAGGAGGGAGAAAAAGACGGGAAGAAAGTGAGTCAAACGATACTTGTTGACTCCATTCGGTGTTTGTCGATGATGTTCATTGCAGAAGCCTGCCGGAGAACAAAACAAAACCAAAGGTACACTATATACTGTATACACACAGAGGAAACCCCTTTCATATTTCCTTAATTAACTGAAGTTATGTCCGTACATTCAAGTATTATGTAATTTCGTCGTGAGTGATAGGCAGAGTGTACTAGGTAAAAACTTCTAGAGACAAGAGGTATATAGACAACTGGAGGCTATGGCAGCGGATGCATGCAGGGATTTCCACAAAAAACACATGAAGCAACATGCACCAAGTTTACCACCCTGAAGGTTGTACATTTTTCTGAGGAGTGTGTAGGTGTGTGCCACCTAGGAATTTGCTAGTTAGCTCAAGCCGCGTTCATGTTCATTTCTCGATGCAACCTGTGCAAAGAGCTCTTCTTGAAGAAAAGTTCAGAATGTGGATCAGTACAGTTGCGGTACCTACTCAGATTGGGACTTGATAAGTATCTCACAAATTAGTTCTGATCACCTGTTTTGTATCAACCTCTGCCAGAAACTTGGTTCTTATCTCCCTAATGTTATCCCCCATTTGTCTTGGTTCATCGGTCTATCTCCACACCAATAGCTTATTGTTTTGTCAACGTGTGAATGCAGGAACATTGATTGTTTAGAACATAAATTGTTTAGATCAAGACCTGTAACTGGGTACTCTTTCCTCTCCCACTATAGCATTGTCAGCCAGAGACAGCAGAGGACCAATGGTAATATGTCATAATTACCATGTATGTACCAACTTTAAAGATCAGATATCTGTTTTAGCCAGCATAGGGTAATAAAAGCCCTTCAATTGCCTCTAGATTGTATGGGCGTCGTTGAGTCAGCTTTTGTTCTTCTTTTTTAAAAATTATTGTGGCCCTCATCTCGTGAATGTGGTAAAGCCACAGTAATATTAGCATTAGTGGCTCTGTTGCAGTGAGTGGGGATGCAAACAGTGTCTGGCCCTAGATACACACACGTGATAGGCATGCAGCCCTGGCTGTGGTCCACATGAACACTCTGGCTGACAGGGCTAGGGCTAAGCTTATCTCCCCATCCTCTGTCCTGTATATACTGCTGCAGAGTGGTGTGGTGTTCTCTCTGAGTGGGTTTAAGAATCCCTTCAGGACAGAGCTAAGAGAGAAGATGGTGGAGATGGGTGCTTCCTTCACACCCGACTGGAACTCTTCCTGCACACATCTCATGTATGATGGTATAAAGTACTACTGTGGTGTGAAACAGTTTAAGAGTGTGCTCGACGGGGAGGTGGGGGCACTCACTTTAACAGCAGCGGAACAGGATGTGCTGGGACTTCCGACTATATATACTGTGGAGGTGTCCTTTAATCAGAGGCCACAACGAAATTAAATGTCCTTTATAGAGAGGTGTCCTTTATTTGGAGTGTCCGTACCATTTTATACAGAAAGGGTGCTGGTGAATTTTCATTTTATCAACCTGGAAACATGTTTGTTTGGAGGAGAGGGAGGACAAGGGAATTGAAAAGGGGGGAGGAGAGGGGCTAGTGAAGATGGAAGGAGATGGGAGAGGGGCAAGGAGAAGAGGGAGAGAGGAGAGTAAAGAGAAGGGGAGGAGTGGTGGGCAGAAAAAGAAGGGAGTAGAGAAGAGAGTATAAGTATGCGATAGAAAAGGGGAGGAGAGAGAGAGAGAGAGAGAGGAGAGCAGGAGAGGAAGTACGGGGAGAGAAGAAAAGGAGGATAGAGGCAGAGAATTTATCTTGTAGGTCTAAAACCCAGTTGTGTTTGTTCTAAAATTGGTTGCCAAGGGGGAGAGAGAGAGAGAGAAACAGGACCCTAGCTGTACTTCCACTACTTGAGCTATTGGTTTGCTGAGCAGTGGTGGGGGGGATGTGTATATGAAGATGATATGTGTATTGTTTGTGCGCGAAGCACATGCGGACTGGTACACATGTGGAGGGGAAGGCCCGGAACTATGGCAGTAACTTCATTTACACACTTGTCACTCAAGTATCAATCAAGTTCTTGTGTTTCAAAACAGTCTGTCCTCGTGCCTTGATTACGCTGTTATCAATTGCACAATTTTAAAATGCTCTTTGTCTTTCTCTAGCTGTGCCTTCCCAAACACACCAAAGTTCAACCAGGTTAAAGGTGAGAACTGGAGATACAATGCACAGAGAAGACCTCGTGCACCCAGTAATTGCAACGTGTTTGACTCTGCATAATTTTAGCTAGTTTGTTGTGAAGTGCTGATTTATGTATCACTGCCATCCATTTAGAGGGTCGCGGTCTGATTGTCACAAAGCAGTGGGTAATGGACAGCTACGTCAAGAAAAAGAGGCTGCCAGCCAGCAAGTTAGTTTAGTCTTACATACATATTACCGTATCACTTTTCTGTTTACATCATGTGTGTACTGTACCATCACGTCAAAGCATCGCTCCGGTAGCTTTCATGATCGTCATTTGCTTTTTGCCGACGTTTTTCATTATGCTAATAATTACAATGATTACCTTAAATTAGAGTGGATTTTACAGTGTGAGTGTGTGTGGTGTGTCTCCAGGTACCGTCTGTCAGGAGGAGGGGACAGTAGTTCAGAGGAAGAACAGGTCTATGACAAGAGGGAGAGAGATCTCTTTGGAGCCAAGGCCTCTGATGCCAGTGAGCCGTGTACTGTATGTACCATCAGTTTCAGTGTGTGAGAGAGAGGCATACAAAATTAATTATTGTGCAGAATATTATATTTCCCTGCATGACCTTTCTGTCTGTTTCAGATAGATGTGTACATTGTATGTTGTGTTCTTGGCAAGCGAAGTGTGAACATGTACTATGTACCTATGTATGTACGTATAACTGGTCTTTGAAGGCACAATTTTCTTACTATGTATGCATGTGTATGTCTCTTTCTATCCGACACTGCCACCCTTACGGCAATTTGTCACGTGAGCGTCAAAAATGCGAGTAAAGAATGAAAATTCCGCATGCATGTGTTAATAATGAGCTGAGTAAGTGAGGCAATGCAAACTTGACTCGTGCTGCTCACCATTGTGCTCTATACCAGTGTGTATCTTGTGAATTGTAACAGGTGGAGGAAGGGTGTCAGAGGAGGGGGTGGGAGTGGCAGGAGGGGACAGGAAGGCAAAGGCAGTGGTGGGAGAGAAGAGAAGTCGAGATCAGCTGGCTAACGAGGAGCAGGAGGACCCTTATGGGCGCTCCACTGACGAAGAGATGGAGAGTGATGTGGGTGGGGACAATTGTACTATATACAATGTGTCTCTACTCTAACTGTACTTGTGTGTTCTACGGTGCTTGCATTGCAATGGAGTTGTTGAGCACTCCACAGATGGATTTCCTTACCGGAACATGTACCTGATACTAATTATCCGAATGAGTGGGTAGGGATTCATAATTATGGCCTGTATTTCTTCCGTGACTGATTCCCTAGCTATTCATTCCTAGAGTTTATTATTAGCAGTGGGGCAAACAGAAGCTGCCCTAGTGTGTGCTTCCTTTTTGCAATACACATGATGGATGTTATGTGCCCAGGGTATGTCGACAGAATTCACCTGTGAGTTCTTTTTAAAAAATCTCTGTGCAAATATCTTTTGGCTGCACTAAGGGTGCCTACAGGCCTCTAAATCTTGATCTGTAATGGCAGGGTCATACTCCTGACTATCACCATGGCTGTGATACTTTTTCAGACTTCCTTCATTCTTCTCATTCTTGTTGGGTTTGGAACCTCTGCAGCCTCTCTCCTCTGCATGTGTTATGTTACTAGGGCCAAACAGAGCCCCACACCATCCACACTGTTTGTGTCACTGGCTACTGTGTCGAGCTACACATAGAGGGATGCGTGTTGTCGAGAATCCGTTTGCTCTGTCAGCCATTGTTTGACTTCCTTCCCATTCCTCTCTGTTTATAAGTAGAATGATATTGGCATGTGCCATTTGGGTTTTCCATTGCACAAATTCCAAGTTAATTCGGTCATCGACTATAGCCACAAAAATTTTGCCAGATTTATGTTAATGATTCCAGGAGTTCTTATTGGTGGGAAGTAGTGTATGAGCATGAAAGCAGTCACACAGTGATGGTAGAGAGCTCTGTGTATGACCATAGGGAGCATTGCCCCAGCAAAATGCCCATCACCATGCAAAGTGTGTGTCTATGGGTGATCTTTAATCTCTGTTAGAAAAAGAGTGATACCACATTGCACTGGCTTTATTTTGGCAAATATCGTAAAAGTACTGTGTTCAAGAGTTATGATGTGAAAACCAAGTGAAGAAGCCAATGTGCAAATTTGCACAGGCTTACCTCGATCCGATCTGCTTGCTCTGCGTACCTTGGAGGCACCAGAATGTTGCAATGCAGGGATAGTGTGGACTTGTAGTAGTGTAGGACAGACTCTCAGCGAGATGTTGGCAAGAGACCATGAGTATAGTAAAAATACCCCAGCCCATCAATGTGTGTACTTCCATGCGTGTTGCTAGTATGCCGAGGGTTTGCACTTAGTAGCCAGGCATAAACAAATTGGTATCATATATAACCCCACCCCACTCAAGTATTGGGTGTGGTCTGATGGATAAGGACCCACACAGTTGATCGTGAGGTCCCCGGTTCGATCCCGGGTTTGTGGTGTTTTTTATAATGATGTAATATGAGAGTTGATATACGTAAAAGGAACGTTTTTTCATCAGCTCTCGTGGCCAGCCCAAGTGGCTAAGTGGTTAGAGACGTGGGGACTGTCACATAAGGTGCCCGGTTCGAATCCCGGACCCGCACTGAAACTGACAGGTGGTCCAGAGCATGGCTGGGAACAGCTCTGGTTCCTCCCCTTACCCACGAATCTACCACTGACCCACATACATCTCAAAGGACAGCGTATAGTTTGGCATAGCACTGCGTCCATAGACGTCTGTCTGGAGAGATGGAGGGTGGCTTTTTTTTCAACCTTAAAAAACGTTTTTCGCCTAAAACAATCCATGGATAAACTTAAATGATGCAAGACATAATTATCATTTTTAATGGATGGCCAATATTGTTTTTAATAATAATTATGTAAAAAGCAACTCTGTCGAATATATATAGTTTTCTCTTTTGCATGGCCAGTATTGTTTTGCATAATGGAAGAAACCTCTCAACAACTCTTTGATTGCCCATTACTTGTTATACAGATTTGCTTTATGGTTTCGTAATAATGTCAGAAAAACTAGCGCCACAAAACTACCTCAGTGCGTATTGTTGGCTATAGTGATGAAGATTATCCGCTTCCACTTAACCCTCGGCGCACATACGCAGCGAAGGTTACTAGACTAGCAGCAGAGTCAATTGGCAACACATAGCCAAACCTATTATTAATTGGTACAGCGCAGTGTGTATATATTTGACATTTTTGTGCACCGAGGGTTTGCCAGCTTTTCTTCAATGCGTGATAAAGCAAAGGTGGAGGAACCATGTAATTGCCTCTCCACTACAGAAGACTGGTCATCTTTAAGAACGTTTGGGAGTGGAACTCTGCAATGCTGGTTCCTATTAGTTCTGCCAAATACATACAATCTTGCTGCGTGTATGAAATTTGTACGCAATACCCTCCTCCTCACTCACTCTCTCTCTCTCTATTGCTAACCAGCAGTGAAGAGTAAGCCAGCGGCTCCAGGCTCCCAGCAATCATCAGAGTGTGACACAGAGGATGAGATACAAAGGTTAGGGCGAGGATCAACAGTGAGCTATGCACAGATTATATTGGGTTTGTCGAAAATTAAAAGTGGGCCTTGGCTAACCAGAAAACGCGTAATTTGCAGTTTTCTTACGAAGTTATCTTAACCTCACAGGCAGGCTAATGCTGTGTTGCTGTAGAATTGACAAGCTTCCAGGAAGCTAATGCGTGAAATGTTAGTACATTTTTAAAATAGTCTGGGAAACTTGTCCTACAATAGCATTTTACCAGACGGCTTGTATAGTATAATTATACTTCCTCAGTGGACAGTGATAGTGTGGGTGGCCTCCCGATGCTATGAAGACTGTGTACGTAGTGTTCAAAAGTCCAGGGAGCCGGAAAAGTATGGTGATTAAATGTCGGTCAGGAAACTTGCTCTAGAATAGCCTTTCTGCTCGGTGGGCTAACTTCCTATCCTCTGTACCGCTATGGCAGGTAGTGTGGCATAGATGACACACTAGGTGGCCTTCCTCAGTATTATCCACTCACGGAGACTGGGTATTATGATAGTGTGTTCTGACCTCCCAGGATCAAAGCGGAGCAGGAAGAGTACGCTGGCACCACCGAGACGGACACTGACACCACTGGTTGGTGCTACATATCCAGCCCTGCCTCCACACTCTGTATACATGTACATACATGTATAATTATTGCCATCTGATCTCAGATACATAAGTACATACATACATACATGTACATGTTGGTGTTTCCTTGCACGTCGGTCTCTGTATTTTTCCTGTTTAGTTGCACTAGATCTCGTTTCACGGTCTGTTTTTGCCGCGTGGCTCACATTTCCTGACATGTGCTCAGCTGTAATTCTTTATTTGTGGCATGGCATCAGTTGACTCAGAGGGGACAGGTGTATCAGTTGACCTCTGCCAGACGACCTATAAATCCCCCTCCGCTGTGCTGTGTACGACCCACCATTTGCACGTGGCGACCATAGATCATCATAGAATATGGACCAGTATAATATCGTGTACAGAGGGGCCAGGAGCGTCTGTTTAATCACCAGCTGCAGCGATGGGGCCAACTTCTTGATGAGATCACTGCTGCTTTTGGCTGGGTGACTGCTTTTTGGGTAACACCATAGGATGACCTGGATGACTGTGCTTCCCTGAGCTGCTTGGCCCGTCTGGATGCACTAACCACAACCAGTAAACAGCATAATTTCCTAGTTTTCTTGGATCATCCGAATCAGTGCCTACGTACAAAATATAATTTGTTAATCTCTTTAGGTGTCTCTCATAAAGTGTGGTCGCACTAGAGCTGGCCTCCTTTTCAAATAGACTGTATGGCGGTCGTGGGGCTTAAGGAAAATTCTAACGTTTATGGCTATATTGATGGCGATCCAGACATCGGGTCGGTTGTCCCCCTTACATTACAATGTCATGCATAAGGCTAGGGGGCATCTTTTGCTAGATTGGATATGCAGGCGCTGTTCACCGGTGCAATGTGACGATAATTGTGTGTTATAAGCCAGATAGGATACTGTCTGTGGCAGGATCCAGATGTGAATTAGATCATGTAGTAAAACTGGCTGTGCTTCACTGAGCTGCTTGGCCCGCCTGCCCAGGTCTCCAGTGCACCGAGGGACAGTGTACCTCTGTTCATTTGGCCATTCTTGAGAACTCCTAATGAGCAGTGAGCCTGCCCCATCTCTACACCACAGGGACATTCTCCGTCACTAACACGCACAGTGCTGCGACTGCTAACCCGTTTGAGCTTGTTCGACAATACTAATTACTCGACAGCAATTCTGTCTCGTGACAGATATTCATCAGCTGCTCTTTCTGTGTACTAGCTTGTAGCCAGAAATGTCCGATGAGTAGTTCATCTTTGGTTGGTGGGATTTTATTTAGTGTGTGAGCATGGAGGCAGTAACACAGCAATATGGTAGGGGTCTCTGCGAGTGCACTGTAGCCCCAGGAAAGAGGTCCAAATCATCCATAGTGTCTATCTTCAACCTGCAAGTGATGTTCAAAATCTTAATTCATGATGGAATATGGTTGATGAAGCAAAGGTGGGTCCCATATGGTATAGGCTGTATCACGTCCTCCATTATTTTGTGATAGCTGTGGGATCTACTCATACGTTGTGGCCCCTCCACTGCAGGGGACCAGTAGGAATCTAATAGTTTGTCTACCACGAGAGAATGCCATCCATCCTTACACCAGAATGCTGAGGTAGTATGAAGGTGTTTACAGATGTCCTTGCGACAATGACCAAGAGTTCACAAACATTTTACTCAGTAACAAAAAGAAACTAAGAGGGTGTGCTGTATTTGTCAGTCTCTTTGCACCGTTCATTAACATGATTACATAGCTACATATTGTGTTAAGATACAAACAAGCCGTCGACTTCCAGCGAACATTAAATTTAGCATACTTGCAGACTGTATCTTTCAGGAGGAGGGATTAACACAGTCTGGTACATGGAGTTAGTAACATGAAATTATTCGAGTAAGTGGAAGGGGGTGTGTCCCAAATAAATATATCTGCCCATCCTCCACTTGCCAAATTTATGTTGCATGTGGATGTAACTGCAGCAGTGTGGTGTGTGTGGTCAACTACTTACATCCGAGACGGATTTTGCCACTATTGTCTGTAGTAGTGGGGGGAAATGTGCAGTAAATTGGATAATGTTCGGTGTGTGCGGCCGGCCAGACGGACTTTGCTGCTGTAATGACCCGCACAAGTGATGAGGAAATGCTCAGTAATTGGTGTGAAACGAGATACTGTAGTGTCGGTTCTGGTGCCCGTGGTGTTGTTGTTATGATATCCCCACCTCTCTCTCTCTCTCTCTCTTTATCCAGTAACAGATAGCACCACTCCTCTTGTTTACTCATCTCTAAGGCCCTCCCTCCAATGAACAATTGCGACGGAACTCTCCCTCCTGTGTGTGTGTGTTATAATATGCAGAGAAGGCTAGGTCCTTGTCCAACAGTAATTACATTCCTTCTGGCTTTGCATTCACCTTCTTGGCAATTGCCTCTCTGTTTAGACTGTGCAGCTGTTTCCCCCCTCTCGCTTTATGCCCCTATCAATTATGAAAGTGATCAGCCCTTAAGGTGGTTAATAGTAGGAACACTGCAATCATGTGAGGTGCTTTATACGTATATGGAGTAGCATGTAAATCAGGGGAAGGTTAATAGTAGGACCCACTGCATCGAATCAATCATGTGAGGTAGTACTATGTAAAGCAGGGGAAGGCACTGTGTGTGACAAATTGCATAACTGCTAAACATAGAACAGTACTATTAGGCCTTAACACAATTAGTATCGAATACCTTGCCTTCCTGACACCTATGTACTGGGGTGTGTGTATGCTGCAATCACGGCAATTTCCTGTGTATGAGACACAGTTCTAGCAGCTAATTGGCCGGTTCCGTTCACCTGTGTCCAGCAGGGAGCAATAGAACCTCAGTCCACACACACGCACAGACATATGCTACTGCTGCCTGCTCACTTTGATCTAATGAGATGATTTTCTGGACCATTTCCTAATTGGTCATTTGTATTCATTTGTAGGACCCACAAGTCTACTTCCATGCCACTGCTCATTATAATCCACTGTAGCCTGGAATGTGTTTCCTATACATTGGTCACATGGAGGTATATAGCTCTGTGTGTGTGGGTGTGCCTGCCTGCATGCACAATGAGGCAAAGCAGTAAACATCTGCTCATAAACAAACACTGTGTGAGACATCCTCTACCATGCACAAGCCCTTCCTATTTGAAAGTTTGTCAATACCATGTGTGGAATGTGGGTTTGCATGTACATACATACATACATACAGTCTGTATATACTGTGACATTAGGATGTATATATACTGGACTTCTGGTATGGCATGGAGAATTTTGTGTCTCAGCAACATAATGTACATAATTCGACAAGGACTAATTGAGCTATACGTACAACATAGGTACGTACATGTACACCAGCTATGTTGTATAGGGATCTTTGTCTGGAGTAAGCAACCACCCTCCTCTCTTTGCCCTCACCCACATTACCTTCGTCCCTCTTCTGATCTTACCCCACAGGTGAGGGTGGGACCCTGCAATCTCTGGCCAATCTCCCGGACCTCTTCTCCCAGAGCCACTTCATGCTCCATGGATTCACAGGGGGAGACCTGAGACTAGTGTACCGCTATGTCACTGCCTATAATGGGTGAGTGACTAGTAGTATAATACCTTTTTGTCTGCAAAATTTTAACTTATGACCTTTGAACCCGGTCAGTTGTTAAACGTGAGTGCAAATGTTTAGTGGTTTTAACATGCTGGCTGTATGGTGACACGCAGTTCAGTCTGCATCATGAGTTTTAGTGAAACAGACCTCTTGCTCGTAGGATCACAGTCTTGCCTGCAATGAGCAGTATGAGAGGGGGTTTCGAATTACTGTACCTGATGTTACAGCAGAAATGGTATGGTCTGACTGAGAAAGTCACAAGGCGAGGTCTCTGTAATAATGTTATGGTGCATGCATTCATACAGTACGTAGCTGCATCATTAATTATTGGCAATCACAGGTGGCCTTACATGTGAGTCTCGTTCCAGCGCAGTTCATAGTCATTCCAATTGCACCTTGTCTTTTGCTGTCACATGAGGACAATAAACATGCACAAAATCACATGAATGGTTCAAAGGTCACACTATATATTCACTTACTCGGTGCTGACTCCCAAGAATTTGCTCCGTTTTGGGGAAGTGCTGTGGGTGATTTTGCCAACTGGATTAGTCGAGTGTGAAATACTTCCTCAAGAATGCTGGGAAGTTCACTGTTTGTGTTACAAACAAGACACCTCTGTAGCTTCCTGACTAACCTCCCCACTCATGAATGACAAGGAAGGCCACATGGAAACTGAGCAGATGGATAGGTTTATATATAAAGAAGTTGTTATGAATATCGCAAGATTGAGACTCTTCGTGTGTTGCAATGTTAGGAGTAGTAAACATTTTCTGTGTGGTTCCACGGGGAAGTTTGTTAAGTACTGGTGTATGGCTCCTGGTGGGACTTGCTCGCTTGTCGACACTGATGTGGCTGTTTTTACAACATTTTTTGGTTCACTTTCTGTATGTATGTCATTCCTAAACACAGTCAGTGTGTGTTTGATTTTCAGCACCATTTCCTTTTGTAGTGGGGGGCAGGTTACCCACAAGCATTTCAGTGAAAGGAGGTGGTCAGTCAAACAAGACTGGAACACTTGTTGGACAGGGGTTGCAACATGCTACACTGAGGGGTAGTGTTAGAGGAGGTGGAGTGGTTGGTCAGCCTGGGCACCCCCATCGAGTCTGTCTTACTCTTGCCTTTAGCAAATGGCAGTTCAAAACATATACCGAGTATCCACAACACTATGGGAGGAGGCAATTTTCTGAGATGCTTGTGTCCGTCTTTTCTACGCTAATAGCTATCCACTTGCACCGATGTCCCCAGCACCACCCTTTAGTTCCCCCCATTCAGTCTGGTTTTTTAACACCTTATAGACTGCTGCATACAGTAATGTGTGGTTGACATTATCTAGGGGCCTTCTTATAGGCGACTTTACATGTCGGGACGTGGCTAGCGTCAACAGTCCTGGAGCAGCTGGTATGTGTAGGGGCGGCTGTTTGTTAGGTCAGGACACGCCCTTGTTTTTCAGCCGTGCAGCTGGCCTTTTTCCACTCGCCTCCTCTGTCATACAGACACATGTGCAGCGGCAAGGGCAACTAGGAAATTACCTGAATAATTGGCTGCCTCTCCCACTATCCTAGTGACGTGTGTGTACATTGCTGCTCCGTTATATCTCTCTGGGGCCTTTGTTTACTACCATTCTCAGCTCACTTCCAGCATGTGTGGGGAGAGCCCACTTGCCCCCTATGAATAACGGTGCCGCTAATAGGCCTGCGACACTTGATGTGCGTCGACAGACGACACTCCCACCCACACGCTCGAGCAATGGTTGTTATTTTCGCTGGCAGTGGGAAGTGCAGTGTAATCAGTCTAACTGCTGGGTCTCCGTATAGAGTGTGGCTTGGCTCATGTGTGGTATAATTGCATGCCAGGGATGGAAATGGGTCGAATTAGTGACATACTGGATGGTTTGTGCTGCCGTGTGTGCTAATTAGCAGTAATTGCAGGGTAATGGTTCGGCGGCCAAGTGTACACAAATTAGCCGTATTTCCCTGCTGTTCCAGCTAAACACGTGGCACAGTCTGACATGTGCATCTGGTTCCAGGGACCTCTGACTCATGTAAAGACATACTGAGATGCCATGCTGTGGTATATATGAGCAATGTGGAAGTGGAAGTTCTATGGCTGGCCACTGTTTTCCCTCATGTGGGCTACTAGACAGGTTGGCACTGCCACAGACCTCCCTATCATTGTTAGCTCTATTTCCCCAACTGTACCACAGAATGAAGGTGGGTTCAATCCATATCCCGAAATTACACCCTAACTGCTCTGTACCCATGGTATTTGTAGCCGGTTTTATCTGGATGGTTGCAGTGTACCGCTTTTTCTGCCATTCTTCCCTTCATGTCAGCTTCCTTTCACTCGGAGTGCTCTGTCTCGCCGGGATGTTCTTCCTACGATACCTGGAAATGGAAACAGTAGAACGTGGTTATGTTAGAGAGTGAGTAAAAGCTTCCTGACCACAACAAGCCATGTTCCCTACAGATGGCTGTCTGTGTGCAGTTTGTGAGGGAGGTATTTCTGCTACAGTCTCCCGTGTATGGTGATGGCTAAGCAGGTCCATTCAGGAGGGTCTGGGACTTTCATTGAGTCATTCCAGAAGAGGCTGTCTTGTGTCCAGTCATTCGGTATGCTGGCTCTCTCAATTGACATGGAAGCTATGTTCATTACTCACTTCCACAGCCTGCATAATTGTATGTAAACGTATAGTGGCTACACCACATGTCAGAGTCACATGTGTCACCTGAACTACTATGCTATACTTTGTGGTTATCTAATCCAGGTGTACCCTCACCTCTGACACTCTCCACAGCTCTAGTCTACATTGTCGTAATGAGCCCGCCCACATAATGACATGTCCTCCATGACCTTCCTGGTGGGGGTGGAGGGAGGAGGGTTGCCTGTTTGCAAGACATAACTTAGTAGTCTCCCACATCCTTCCTGAAACTGCGACTTCACATGAAGTAGTGGGTATGCTTACATTTCCATGAGTTTGTGTACAAATCAACTAGGCTCAGCCATTCAGAGTCAGCATAGTAGGTGACCGTCTCTTCCTTGTGTGTGTCCTGTAAGTGGATAAGGGGGACACTCTACCAGTGGGAGGGAAGGAGGGAAGGTGTGTTTTCCTACATATTCCAGCCACCCATGCAGTGGAGGGCCTGGATGTGATTACACATCCTATTAGGTTCTCAGATTACAGCTGAGAGACAGAGCGTTGCTAGGCAGCAGAGGCTGTGAGGTAACTCCTGTTATTGTTATTCAAGGCTGTAACCTGAGCCCCTGGTCTGTGATCATTAGCAGTGGCAACAGATAGGCCAGTGATGGGGCAGGTGTCAGGCTCACCCAATACCCCTTCCCTATTAGGAAGGCTCAATATAATAGGGACACAGGAGTAATGTGTTCCATTATTCCTGTATGTAATTTCAGTAGGTAATGGCGGCGGAGGTGCCCAGCATCCTGGGCCTTTCTTTCAAGGCTGGGTTAATTTGCCTGTGTGTATGGCACTGACCCAGGGACCCGTGATATGTGTGTTTGTCTTTGCATTGTGTCTATTGATTGAAAGGTACACCGTCTGATGACATGGGATTGTGTGATCGTGTTTCATCAGGTGGAAATGCCCACCTCAAATGGCTCACTGGCTCAACCCCTTTGTTCCCATTATTATACATACGGCTGTTCGTACATAACTACACGTATGTAGTGTGTATGTATGCGGCATGTGAATAAATAATGCTTTTCAAGATGCCGTGACTACTGTCAGCAACTGCTCAGTCTCGATGCCACCATTCCCTGCAGCCCATTATTGGTGAGACGCAGGACGTCCTTAGAGCATGATGGTTGAACCGGTGATACTCTCTACGCAATGCTCTGTGTGAAGGTGTAAATTAATGGCAAAAATTGCACTGTGCTAAAAGGCTAGGGTAACAGTGTAAGCGAATATCACTGGGTATTGGCCATTTACTTTGGTTGTACCCAAGAATGGGTTGCTATAGGGAATTTACTTTTTGATCATCTTGATAAAGAGTTGCTATGCTACCAGCCAAGTTCCTTGGAATGCTATACCTCACTAGCCTGGGACAATTAAAAAAAGTCTTGATGTCTAATTATTCTGGAGTTCCTTGGAATACTTGAATGAGCTCAAGGAACTGTGTCTATGGTGATGGGAAGAAAACTGTTTCAATAGATGTCTAGGTCCTAGGGATTATGAATGCTCTTGGTCAATGCTTTTGATTGACCAAAAACCCATTTCTTGGAAACATCCAAGTCTGGGCTATTCATAGAATGACAGTGTTGTGTTGTGAATAATCCACTGACTTCCTAACAAAACTGGTGAGCAAACCCTGCAAACCCTGCAGGAACTGTTACTGCTTAACTCATTAGATAGCGTTTTGGACGAGCTACAAAGCTGGCAATATTTGTAGATCCGCCCCTGCAATTATTATCAATCCCCTTTGGTCCCTGCCACCAGCTGGTGTCCAGGTTGGGTGGGCAGACCCAACAATATTGGCAGGTAGCTAACTAGGGGGCTCACAATGTCCTAAACCCATCATATGAGATGAGAAATTGGAACTATCATTTGTTTTCTGAGCAGTAGCCAGTAGCTTGATATCTGCAGGATTTTAGTGCTCTGTGTCTCATGTAAACACTATAACCACTGGGATCCTGTGTGTCATGGGTTGACTCTGTGCCTGTCACTCACCACCAGTGGGGTCCCTGAATTCCCTGGATGTTAAGCTGCAGGATTGTTCATTGGTTGTACCCAACTATTACCTTGGCCAACATTAAAATATATGTGTCAGCACCTCCATATGTCCATAAGAATTTATATAGGGGTTATAATTCTAGACGCTAAAAAGGAGATACATATAGCTCCTGTGCTTGTTGTGTCCCTGGGAACTATCACCATTATACTCCACCTACATTGTGTGGGATTCAGGAAGGACTCTGAAGTCTTGCTTGGACTCCTGTTGGATTTTCATGGCAAGGCATTCCTTGTAGCCACTCTATGGTGAATGAAATTCAATAAGGTTATGACGAGGAGGGGATACCCCAGGTGTTCCGTCCTAAGTAGTAGGAAATATGCCTATACATGTCTTGTGCATGCATGCACTTGCCGAATTTCCTCCCCAAGGCCAACATGTATGGTGGATATGGGTGTCCCAGAAGCCAGGTACGTATATATCTTATGGCAATGTGGTTCCACATTCGATTGCATTACGAGCACCCTGCATGTCATATGTAATGTACGTATGAACTTTCATTCAGCTGACCCATCCCTCTCTCCCTCCCTCTCTACCCCTCTCTCTACCTCTCTCTCTACCTCTCTCCCTCTCTCTCCCTTGACTGACTGGCTCGCAGGATTGTGGAGAACTACATGAGTGACAAGGTGTCTTATGTGGTCACATCTCAGGGATGGGACTCCCAGTTTGATCAGGTAACCAACCACTTAGAACGGTTTTGTGTATGGAGTTGTGTTCTTTTGGGAGACAGTGTTAGTGTTTCTATCAGGATATGCAGGAGAGGTTCTCACTGCATGTACAGTGGGTGCCGTACAATCCTGTTTTGCCAGATGCACACAATGTGTGCCGTATTTTGATCAATACGTTAAAAGACACTTGCAAAGTCATTATTACCTGCATGTATTATCGTGTTATTATAAATGACGTGTCGGGGTCAAGTTGGTTATTATCATCAATACGTACGTACTTCACTTCCGTATGTGCCCATGGGTACCCAAGTGTTTGGATGATGGCGTGTTTAGCTTGGCAGCTGAGCTTCCGTCCTGGACTCTTGCATGCTTTGGCCCCAGGCTCTCCACCTAATGCATTTACAGCCTGGAATTAAGGTCACACTGAGCACATATGCAATCAGCTGTGTTAATAGTGTTGACTGCCCACATGTTATAATGGTTCACCCTGTGGTGATTAGATTAACGAATTTACTGCTTCTGAACCAAATAGTCAGTGATCAGTGCCCTGTACTTAGTATGTGTGCGTAGGTACTTTCCTGCATTTGTAGCATTTACACACTGCTTGGCAAAGTCCGAGTAAAGGATCACTATGGCTTGTGAGCATTCCTTGGCTTACTTCCTGTCTCCTAATTCCCCATTTTCAACACTCTCTACTGGGTACATGTGTATGGATGCATGTGGTTGGTAGCCTTATAGCCTGGAAGGAAGCTTTGGAAAGGATACCAGTGTTGTAAAGCAAGTGATTAGCTGTGCATGGATAAGTTGGTTATACACTGGGCTTCCAGTATAAATGTATATATATATGTTATAGTGTCTTTACTGTGCACCATATGTGTTACAGTACACATAGTGTGTTTGCATAAGTATGTATGTGCACCGTCAAACTTTTCCAGTGTTGCTATACATGCATGTACAACTGCCTACATTGCTGTGTTTGGTGTCCGTGTATGTCCATAATGTGTTATTATTTGTAGTTTCTTCCAGTCGCCCACTCTTGGTGGGGTCTGTTGGCTGGAAGCTATGTACATACCACCTCCAAATTGGCACTAGGAGGAGCAGTGGAGTTCCTCATTACCAATTATGGCGTGGATTTTACCACACATACTAGGCCAACCACTAATGAAAATTTGCATGGGTTAAAGCTTCCACAATGTAAAACCCAAGTAAATGTTTTGATGGTCATATATACACAAAAGTCCAACAGGAAGTGTTAGCCTGAGGTGTACATACCACCATGTGCTAGGTACAATGTATAAACATCATATTGTCACATCCTGTTTGTGTAATATTGTGTTTGTGTGATTTTAGGCTCTGGAAGACAACAGCAGTCTGATATTTGTGAGGCCCCAGTGGATCTTCAAGTGCCACGAAAAACAGTCTCTAGTGCCCTACCAGCCGTTTGTGGTGGCCCCCTCCTGACTCCTGTAGATCTACACAAACTGTTGTACATGTATAGACCTCCGTCACCACTGGACCGTAGTAGCGTACCAAACACGAACGCACACAGAGAGAGCTTGTTTTGGAATAATTACAGCGATTATTTTTGTTGGCGCCACCCGTTTTGACACAGCTGCTGATGGTATCGTTTTTCGCTGCAGTTTGACGTCAGTTTCCAGGCTATGAATATTGTTATTTTTATCAGCCGTGCGGTAATTGATACCCAATAACAACAGTAGCTTCCTGAGTCATAAAAGGCGGTGGCGCCCTTCCAGTCTCGAGGATTTCCGTGTGGAGCGTTGCCCGTTTCCGTCGAAGTTCTCGTCGGCGCGTTTCCGACGGCATCCCTGTAGCTCTCTAGCTACAACAGATCCCGAGGAATCTTCCAGCTGTGAGTGCACAGCCCGTGCTCTGAGGCGTTGCTGCAGTCAGAAACTGGCCGACACACGCACGCGTCACTGCAACGGCTACCAGCCCACCAACTTGCTACTTGCCTCACTTCCGCGTATCTGCAAGATTCACATCCGTCTACCAACTCAGAGATGGAAGCGTTGGTGCACCTAGATCCTGAGAGATGCATCTGTGTGCTGGGGCCTCAGGTGTCTGCACAGTACCTGGTGGCCACGGGACTTGACCCCAAGGCCATACCGGCCGTCATGAGCCACCGAGGACTCGTGGAGGCTGGCATCAGGAAGCTCGTGGAAGTTGAGACTTTCCCAAACTCTGAGCTCAAGCAACGGAAGGAGACGCTGCTGCGGAGCTCGTACGAGCTGGATCCCACCTTCCCGTCGTTCAAAGTGACGGAGAAGCTCCGAGGGCTGGGCGAGTACGAGCGTTGGCTGGCAGAGGCGTTTGCTCCCGTGTCCAACCGCTCCGCCGTGCTGGGATTCAACGCGACTCTGGAGCACCTCACCTCTCTGCAACGACAGGGCATGCTCCTTGCGTACTCCCACTACGACCCCGTCCTCCTCAACACGCAGAGGTTCAGGTCCGTCCTCATGGACGACGAGGAAGGTGTGCGAGAGTGGATGACGACTTCCGCTTCCGGGAGATCGGCGTCTGGCACCTCCAGTCTCCTCTACATCCACGGCTCTCTGGACTTCCCATCCTCCATGAGGTGGGACTCTGTCACCTACTCTCGAGAGGTCGGAGAGAGCCCTGGAGGAAAGGCCCTCAAGGAAATCTGCAAGACTCGCTGCGTCATATTCTTGGGGTTTGATGCCGATTTCTTTGACCCCCTCATTCACAAGTTTTGCTCGACTTTTCTCCCGACGTCGGTCCAGACACCGTCGCTGCTCCTGAGCACGCAACTGAGCCACCATCCCATCCTCCCGTCTGTGCTCACCGTCGGAGTTGGACAGCTGGCCCTGGAGAAAGTCCTCCTCCCTGTACCCATCAGCCAGCAAGGTAAGAAAGTATTCTGCCTGCTGAATGGCAGATTATTGTAGATAAATAGTGGAGCCTTGTCCATTAGAATAATCATCACCAGGTGCTCAGTTAGGTGTGTGTGTGTATAGGGCCAGAGGCCTGAGCATGTTTGCTGAAGATTTGCTCTGTAATCAGACTGTGTCATGTGTTGCCATTCCCTGGCAGTACATGGTGAATAATGTTAGGGGCAGATTTTGTGTATACACAAATGTGAGGAACTTGCATCTGCATCAGCTGTCTCCTGTGCAATAACCTTCATCCTGCAGTTTGTACAATTATAGGTGTTGTAGATTTCTATGGTGGAACAGTTCCTGGATATAATATACAGACTGAACAGTAAATCCACTGGCCAAACTTACTCATATCCTGTTCATGGAGCTACTTCAGTTATCTTTGACAGGTTCCTATGTTTGTACACAGTGACCCACACTTGGTGCATGCGCCTGGGTTGCTCCCTGTGCTTATACCGAAAGTGTTTACCAGAGTCTGTTGACAGATAGTGCAATGGGGGCACAGAGTTGTGTTGACATTTCAACCTCTCTCCTTGGACAATCAAGTTTTCCTGTCGTAGCATCGTGTAAGGTTCAAGCACATACATTCGGGCATGTCAGCATAAGTTGTTTCTACTCTCGGTGAGCTTGTTGTAATTTCCTAGTTGCACATCTCCACTTACACATCTCCACTTACACATCTCCACTTACACAGTTAGGATATGGAGATAATGTTCTAAGTTTTGTGTGTAGTACAGTGCATGTGTGTGTGTGTGTGTGTGTGTGTGTGTGTGTGGTGCTATAAATATTGTTTCTACTTCCATAACGTTAATTATACAAGTTTGTTCAAAAGTAATTTTAGTGGCTTGCACTACTTGTAGCTGAAGTTTCACAGTGAACATATGTGGCTTCATTTTTCGTTCTTCCTTGTACTATTCTTTTGTTTCAGCGGTAAATGTGCAACATTGTGAGTGTGTGTGTGTGTAGATACCTGGTGTCCTGTTCTCTCTCTCTCTCTGGAAGGCACATAGTAGTCTCGCTGGCCACAGCGACAGACTAGAAGGCAGGTGTTAAACTACCAATGCTGCAGTAGTGTGTGTGTGTGTGTGTGTGCAGGTTGCCCATGGTATCCAGACAGAAAGGCCTCTATTGTTTTCTTTATGGCATGCCAGTGTCATTGTAATGTGCCCTGGCACAGTAAAGTATTTCCTATTCACAGGAGAGTTCCTCATGGGATCAGTAATGAGGCTGTTGTCCTGCTAATTGACTATGCGCAATTCCCTGATCTTGATCACATCCTATCAGGAAGTGTGAGACATGGGGCTGTACAGTGATGAATAGAAGAGCCGCCCTGCCTCAGATCTGACCATGAGAATAGTGGGGTAGTCAAGTGGGCAGGAAGGCTTCAGTCAAGTGCTGAATTTCATAGTGGATTGCCAGAAGGTGGTGGAGTCATTGTAGTGAGAGGTGGGCTGTTTCCTTCCTCAATGGTATTGTGGCCTAGCGCTAGAGTATGTGAATTCAATTGATGGTCTACTGTGGGATTTCCTGTACACCTTGGTATGCAGTGATTATGGTAGTGGTGGGCTAAGGTGGCCAGGTTGGTGACTACCCTTTGTGTCCTGGCTTCCTGTGTGTAAGTCAACTGTGGGATCTGTGAGTACTACCTTTCACTACTTCACACCACATCCCCCATTGACCTTTGCCTGTGCCTGTTTACCCTATATCCCTAGACAGCAGTTTGCTGCTTGACTTGGGTATACTGTACCTTTCATTATTTAACCTTGCTCCTTTCATTATCGTGCCCCTTTTACAATACTGTGACATGTAGTGCTATGCTTGTCAAGCATTACTTGGCATTCAGAGATGAGTATTCCTTCCCAGCCTAACAATTGCCCCACTGACTCCCCCTGCCCTGCTCTCTTACTAGGAAATGGAGGAGGGGTGTTGTCAGTTCCTCCATCTACTACACATCCACCTCCTACTATTCCACTACACCACATAGGAATGTACAGGTCACACAGGTACTCGGTGGCCATTGCATACAGTAATTGCTGGCCTTATAGTAGGACAGGGAATGAAAGTGGTGCATTTCCGTGTGAAATGGTTCTGTGGTTTTAGAGTTGCAGGAGTGCACCTACCCTCTTATTAATGCCCCATCTACTGTGCCTTCCCTCCCTTCCCTTGTTGGTAACAACCTCATTATTATCTCACAGGGGAGGTTAAAAAGCGAATGTGGATGTTTTCATACAGTGTAATTGCAGTCTGCAATACTGTTCACAGGGAGGGGGTTGTTGTGTTGTGGGTCAGAATTGTCCGATGCTTGGACACTGGCAGTCCAGGCCGTCTGGGGGAGACACAGTGTTACCTTTCTCGTGTTGGCACTCCATCACTGACTTCTAGGATTTGTAAAAATTACTCTGTTGTGTGTGCAGAGCTGGTACTATCTAATGCACACATGGTTGCATACATACTATACATGGTTGCATTGCACATTGTACTGTTTCACTTCCTGTCAAAATATTCCACTAAGTGTGGTGTCATCTCTACCTCCAGGCAACTCTGCACACCTGTACCGAGCTCAAGACAAGCAGAAGTGTATCCACGTGACCCTCCTCTACTCGGACAATGGGAGTGGCCTCAACTCGGCCGACAAGATCAAGAGCATGGGTAATGTGGGGGCCACCCAGATCACTCTTACCCAGGACGGGAAGCACCACCTCCTGGGGCTCCACACAGACTCCTCGGGCATGGAGAACCTGTGGAAGGTGGTGTGTGGGACCGGGTCGGCCTCCGCTGCCATCCAGACCGGTCTCCTGGCGGTTCGTCTGGAGGGTGGGGTGACCATGTGGCTGTCGTCCACCGGAGGAGGGGGAGGGACTGGGAGTAACAAGACGGGGGAAGCAACACAGCAGTCATCTTCAGTCAGACACGAGAGGATTGGCAGCTCAGGTGAGTGTCAGGGAAAGGTGGAGAGGGAGAGGGAGAGGGAGAGAAAATGAGGGGAAATAAGGGGCAAATGAGAGGGGGGAGGGTAGAGAGGAAAGAAGAAAGGACCGTGTGTTGTGTGTGTGTGTGTGTGTGAGCGGGAGAAAGAGCAGTGAGGGAGTGGGGGGTGCAAAGGTGCATCTTTGATTTGTTAATGAGAGAGACTGACATGTGTAGGGCAACAATCACGTCTGGTAGTCTAATAGTGGTGACAACGTATCAAAGTGGTTATCAAAGTGATGCGTATGAGAGGGGTGGTGTGTCAGTGAAAAGGACTAGCAGTTTTCCAGTTGCCCGACACTGGAGGTCGTGTGTGTAAACACAGCACCAGTGTAGGCAGTGGTTTCCTAGTACTATTCTCCCACTAGAAATGTAGCGTGCGGTTACAGGCTGGCACTTATACAGGATGCATGTGTCTAGAATTGTACTACCTGATAGTGGGTCGCTAATTAAGGGAGTTGTTGTTTTGCCCCCTTTAATGTTGCTATGGAGGATAGGTCTTGTGGCTCTGATATCTAGCCTGAGGTCATGCTCCCCCTGGTCTAGTCTAATTGTGTAACTGTGGCTGGTAATTTCATGAGGCCTGCTGGTGGTTGGGTCCCTGCCATACAATGGTGCCTGGGAGGTGTCCACATGTACTTCCTGCAGTAATACTGCCTGATGTAACCACCTCCATAAACCTTAACATAACAGTGGGTTATGAGCAGCCACCCGAATTTGTTATTAGCGTGAAGAAGGCATGCCATGTAGCCATTGCTAGCTGGACATTGAGGCCTACCACTCACTTGATAAGGTTGTGGCAGTGTAAATCCAGAGGGTCTAGCAGGCAAGTGCATGGGACACATTAACCAAATATCAAAAGCTGCTGCCACTATTCTGGCAAAGGGCTCCATCCATCTTTGCCACAAAACCCACTAGTGTTTGGCCCCTGGAGGCTTTCAGGAAGTCCGCCCACCCCACTAGACTGCGGTCTGGCAGGCTCGGCAGGCTCTCTTCATAAGTCACCACAGTCCTATTGGTGGACCCTGCCCATAAAGGCATGCCTCAACAATAACTTCCTTCCAAGGCTTCTGCTGTGTACATTGGCTGGCATGCAATTTTCTGTGGGTGCAAGTAACCCCTATTGTACACACTGAGTGGGCATTGTATGTATTATGTGCATGGATACGGTAGTGTTTGGCAGGTCTCCCATTGAATTGCTCTGGGATGACCTAAAACCCGGTACCCAACACGCAAAGGCAATTGAATCTGGCCATGCAAAACATATTAGATGCGTACTGTGTTAGTAGTATGTTGGTGTGTGTACACGTCCAGTTTCCTGTTGCTAGAAGCGGTTTGAATGGGAAATGTGCATACCTTGCTGGCAGGTGAGGATATCTGCCACCTCAGCCTCTGCCCCGGCCTGTCAGCCATGTCCCTCTGTCCCAAGCCAGTCAAGTATCCCTTACAAGGTGCAGGTGTTTTGTATACCCCTATTGAGCTGAGTTCCAAGTGTACAGTCCAGCAGCTGTTGGTTCCTGTAATGAGATAACATAATATGACCTCTTCCCATTGCTTCCACGGCAGTCATGGGGAATCTAAAGAGTTGGAAGCTGTCACTTCAAACAGCTGAAGGAAGGGAGTTTGGTCTCCTTGTGCCTCTTGCAAGCTCCATTTGTTTGGGGAGTGTGTGGCAGTAGTGGTGACTGGGTGTGGCTAGCTGTTAGATCTTGGCTGGTGTTTGCAGTCGTAGCACACACAATCATAGACACGATGACCATTTGATGGCCTGTGGGTTGATGGCAATGCATATCCTCTGCCGCACCATGCCCACTCTGTTGATACTACAAACACACACCAGGCATTTTGCTTTCCGCATCAACCTCTCACTGTACAATATTATGGGATGTGAGTGTTTTCCTTCGTATCTATTATCATTGTAGAGGGAAGTAGGAAGCGGCGGGTTTTGAACAGGGAGAGTAGTGCAAGGAAATTGGTATCTGTTATGAAAACTATACAGCTGCATATCACTGTGTTTACGCTCCTACAGGTCATCCAGTGACTGTGCCCAGCCTTCCCCTCCACTCCTCTCCCCACGTCCACAACTCCACTGTCTCTGTCATCAGCTCTCACTGGGCCTCTCCCATCCCCAGCCCCTCCGTCACCAAACTCAGCTCCACCCCCTCTCCCTCCACTCGCCCCGCCCTCCCTTCGCCGCTCATGAACTCCACCACCAAAGGCTCTCCTCACCGGACCGGCTCACTCGCCAACTTTGGCGGTCTCCCGATCAGCGTGTGTCCGACCCCAATACTGACTCCACAACAGATGCACCAGCAGATGAGGAGGATTCAGTCAGAGCACGGCGGACGGCTGTCGTACCTTGACCGACATGACGACGAGAAGAGGAGGAGGAACGGGATGCTTATCCACCAGGAGAGTGCCCCTGCAATTATCGTCAACGATGGAACTCGGACGCTCTCCGTGCCCAGTCCCAGTACACTGGCGAAACTGCAGAGCACCGTGAACGAGCATCGCATCGAGTGTGTGGACCAGCTAACCCATCCTCCCACTGGCAGCAGTGGCAACAGCCCCACGGGCAAGTCTGACTCCACGGTTCACTTTGCCAAGCTCCGGCAGCAGTTCATCAGTGATGCCATGGAGTGGAGCAACAGGCTATCCCTCCCTCAACAGCAGCCACAACCCGAGGCCACCGCCAATACCTCCACCGTAGGCATGAGCATGGAGGACCAGGAGAAACTCCTGAGTCAGCATTTTGAGAAGATGCACAGGCAGCAGACGAGCTCCCCCTCACTCACCCTTCCCTCCTTCACTCCCTTCCCCGCCGCCACCCTCCCCATCTCATCCCCACAGAACTCCCGGCCACGCAGCAAATCCCCCAAACCCTCTCCCATCCAGCTCCCCTCTACCACTGCCCCTACAATTAACCCACTCATCAACCCCAGCAGTCTTTATGGGTTCCTACCCACCACGTCTGGTCTCCCGGGGCTCCAGATCCCAGCCACAGCTGCCAACCTTCTCTTCAACCCTTCCTCCCACGCACAGTATGCTGCCCTCCTCAACCAGTACTTCCAGATGATGTCATCGCAGAGCATGGCCGCCATGGCCGTTGGCAACAAACAGCAACAGCCTCTGATTATCAGCGACCCGAACATCCTCCAGAGCCTTCAACAGGCTATAGTGGTCCTCCCGGATGGCACCCTCACCCCGGCCAACCTCAACCTGGACTCCATGCTCAAGAAGGAGCCCGTCCACCAGCAGGTGTTTGAACAGACCTCCCCCACTAAGAGCCCTAGCAGTGTCGGGAAGAGGGCCGGCTCTCCAAATAGCGACGTCTCGAGATTGGCCCCGCCTCCGAAACGACGTCGCTCTAGTTCCCTCCCCGACATCACCCAGCTCCCGTCCGTGGTGGACAAGAATGCTCCCATCCAGGAGGAGAGGGAGGCCGAGGAGAGAGAGGCAGAGGAGGATGCCGTAGCCACCGCTAACAGGAGCAGGAAGGAGGCGGGTAAGCGGAGGAACATGCCGCCACTCAGCATGATCCAGATCCCCAAGGAGGGAAAGATGCACGACCCCATGCTGGGGTTCCCCACGCCACCACAGAGCAGCCCCCACTTTGCCTCCTCGCCGCTCATACCTAACATCATGAGCAACATGTTCCAGCCGCACCCCATGACCCCAATTACCCCGGGGCAGGACTCGTTTAACCAGGAAGACATCAAGGAGCTGGTGGGAGAGACCAGTGCCCAGACACCACTGCCTGCCTCTCCAAACGGATCCTCCAGCCTTCCTCCCTGTAAGTATACATAATACCTAGACCAACCTACATGAGTGAAATTTAGTACGATAGAGGTGTATGGGAAGATACTAACGAACGTTTTGTGTTGGTGTGGTATTAGTGTCACAGCTTCATCATAGTTTGGGAGTAACAAATGCTGGAGGTAGTGCATACACTGCCAGTTGTGTTTAATGATGGTGTGTTAGTATAGCGTAATAGTTTCCATTTCGACCACCTCGTACTAAAAACTTTCCACGTGTCTGTGTGTGTTCAGTTCCGACAGGGAGAGGTCCGATCCAGCTGTGGCAGTTCCTCCTGGACCTCCTCATCTCCCCCGACAAGAGCCACCTCATCCACTGGACTGGCAACGGCTACGAGTTCCGCATCCTCCTCCCCGAGGAGATTGCCAAACTTTGGGGCGCCCGCAAGAACAAGCCTCGTATGAACTACGACAAGCTCTCCCGTGGCCTTCGCTACTACTACTCCAAGGGGATCATGGACAAGGTCCCGGGAAAGAAACTCACGTTCAAGTACACCTGCGACGTCCCCAACTACCTGCAGTCTCGTGGGGCCGCAGTCCGGGCCGTCAGTACCAACGGGAAGACGGCCATGAGCACAGAGGCTTGACACTGCTCACAACCTGTGTGTGTGTGTGTTTGTGTGTGTGTGTGTGTTGTGTATTTCCCTCTCCTTGTCAATATAATTGCGGGTGTGTTTGTTTGTGTGTGTTTTTGTATTGTGTCATGCTGGTGAAATTGTGTGTAGAGTGGTGTGTGTTGTGTACAAGTTTTTGGTGCTGTGTTCTTGTTCTTATGGATCACTGTTAGTCTGTAAGCTGTTCTAGGTTTCAATTATGAATTATCGTCATAACAATGCCCACCCCACCTTCATATTATTCCCCCGTTTTTATAGTTATACATTATTCTATCCACAATTTCTTCTCACCCCTGTATTAATAACATTTATGATTATCTTGCTGATTGACTGAGATGTTAAAACATTGATCTTAAGTTTTGGTGCACTCTGATAATGTCAGTGGAAGTGTCGGTTTGCTCATGGCTGGCGATACGTTATTAACCCTCGCCTGCGTGCATGCGCAGCGAGGGTTATTGCAGTCGGTCTGTGTGTGTGTGTGTGTGCGCGTGTCCATCCGTCCGTCCACTGTTTTTCTCGGTAACCGCGGCAACTCTGAGCGTGAAACGTGGACATATTATCAACTAGGAGGCATGCATGGTAAAATAAGATTCTGGAGCGGAAAAGGCCGGGGAAGCTGGTGAAACCACTGAGGTAGCTAGTAGCCATTGGCTGTAGCTCTAATAAACTACTATTGGAGCTCCATAATTAACAGGGGCGAGGGTTATGCACTTTCAAGTGCTTTTCATTATAATGAAGCGGTCAGTTTGGGGCCAAATAATATTATTGTACGGAAGTTATAATTATAGTTAATATTATGAGGATGGCAAGGAAACAAGACAGGGATGACCTAGTGCTGGTTACCCCTCCATGTGTGTACATGTTAATTTTAGACTAGGCTGCTTTGTTCATGTATTTAGGGTGGTGGTTCAGGGGAAAGCAACATGCTTGGGGAAAATATAAATTCGGACCCTAAGCCATCCAGCTGAGGTTTACAAACAATGGCAGATTAAAAGATCATTTTAGTAGCACCAAAGGGAATAGGTGCAATAGCTTTTCCATTGTAGCAGTGTTTCGTAGCCTAGCATTTCATCTTGCTCCGGTCCACTTCTGGTGCACCTTTGTCTTGGTGTTACAGCCCTCACACGTGATCACATCAGCTTTCGCGCTGATGGAGAACAATAACATACAATATAGAAAGGGGTACTCTGATTAATGTTGAGGATGAGCAAGCTCATGACCATGAGGCTCCCATAGGCATCAATACCCTCTGTATGGAGCAAAACCTGCGCCTCTAGGTCAGTCTGGCCATCTAGATTGTGTCCAGGCCAACGCGCGCAGGCGCTTATTTACTCCCCACGCGTGATTGGCGAGCGAAGCGACCACCCACGCGCTAAAAGCACAGAGTATAGTAGTAGTACACATGCGCACGTTGAAGAAGGCAGACATTCCTGAGCCCCATCCCAACACCCGTCTTGAGTTGACACTTGTGTCTCCTTCGATATTCGGACAGGTCCATCACGAAAGTTCTTTAACAGAACGTCTCCAAATTCACCGGAGGTGTGCACGGACATCAAACCATCGTTTCTTTCTCGCCGATAGTCACTACGGTAGATCGTGGAGCTTTTCCATGGCTGTAGACACTGCACAGCTGTTATACTCGACTCAGCATTAATGAGCCACGCGCATGCGCCAAGCATAGCGTTGTCGTTGCGCGCGCGCGCATTCGCAATCCCAGCGGGTTGACGTGAAACACCTGCAGAGGAGTGCGCCATCGTACTGTACACATTTCCAACTGGCTAACCTGCGTTTTGCTGTTGATTTGCACGAGGAGTAAACTTGGCAGAGTCTGCGCGGTGTTACGTGAGCCTTGCCGGGCGCACAAATGAGCCTTCATTCCGGCTATTTGTCAGTCCCAGAGGTTGTAAACTGATTACTAAAATTTGCCCCGTCAACTTCTCTACAACATACCCATGAACATCAGAGTGACTGTAACAATAAAATGCAGCGTTGTCATAAGCTGTTAAAATTAGTGGAGACAAGTGGAGACAAGTGGAAAAATAATTTTTTTTCAAAATAAAGGCGGGATATAGGGATGGCTTGAAGCACCAAAAAGGAAGAAACAACACACCAAAGATGCACAAAGCTACATGACAACATACTTATAATTATCATTGTTTGATTGTTCATAAGCAACAATTACAAAGGCATAGGGATGGTGTCATGTAGCTTTGTGCATCATTGCTGGGTAATGACCCCTTGTTTCTTACTTTTTGGTGCTTCCAGCCATCCCTATATCCCCCTTCATTGTGAAGAAATGATTTTTCCACTTGTATAACTACTGTTAGCCTGAGCCTTGTGTGTGTATATCTGTCAGGGTGACCGGCGGTCTTCTATACCTTGTCTCTCAGCTGCAAACACATTCAATTATTTTCCCGTATGTGACACGCATGGTAGTAACTACTGTATAGTGGTAAATGTGTAGTTTTAAATGTTTTATGCAGATGCTGCATGCACACTATTCAGTGTTGAAGCATTGTTATAAAATTGCACATCTTGGATGAGTATTGCTTTGCTGTAAACTGAACAGCTCACGCTTTTACAGTGTAAACCCTCGGCGAACTGCGCATGTGCGGTACCACTAATTGATGGGCTGGGCTTTTTATGCCTTTACTCGTGGTATCCCGCTAGTAGCTCGCGGAGAGTCTGGCACGGGCTAGCTACAGTAGTAAATAGCACGCGGGAGTCGATACATGCCCTTCGTTGTGACTTGTTGTGCCTTCAAGACACACAGAGCGAACGGACGCGGTCGAGGTAAGCCTGTGCTAATTTGCATATTGGTTGTTCACTTGGTTTTCACGCCATAACTTTAGAACGCAGTAGTTTTACGATTTTTTAATGCATCCACGCTGAATGAAACTAGCTAACATACTTAATGACTAAGTATGGATGTACTTTGTGTGAAATATCAATTTTCTATGCAACAAACTCTCCAGCGTACGCATGCGCACTAATGTGCCGACCAGCCCCACCCACCTACCTCACGCGGCGGAACGCACGCGCGCAAGACACCGCCAGTAGAAGAGACTACTCAAATTTATCTCTGGAGCCGCCACTGTCCTAACACACAGCAGCAGTTAAACCTCTATGCTCTCTCCTGTGTAAAACCTGGACTGGATTATTTCATGTCGAAGTATACAGGAGACCTAGCTAAGCAAATTGGTATATTTAAAGCAGCTAGACTCTTCGTTCCTCATAAGGTTGTGCAATTGTCTCCTACTGCATCTACTGTTGACTCACTTGATTCCTTTCCATTTCTAGTCCCTCTTCTTCCTGCTTTGAAAACTGAACTGCCAACTTACCTTGCACTTGCCTCAGGAATTTCTGTTGAGGTTGAGCCCACAGTGTGGTGGAAACAGAACAAGGCTGAGTTGCCCCACTGGTCCCATGCATTTACTGAAGTTGTATAACGATCCAGCCATCATCGGCGGCAGCTGAGAGAGTATTCTCTCTCTTGAGGAACAGTTTCAATGAACGACAGGACTTGGCATTGCAGGATTATTTAGAGGCATCCTTGATGCTACAATACAATCGTGGTCGTTGATATCAATGTCATGAATTGTTGAATTTGTAAGAAATGTTTCAGAATAATTGGTGTAATTTGAAGGAATAAATGGCATATTTCCAGGGAATAAAGGAATAGAATAATAGGCTAATAAATGGGAATAATTTCCTCAAGCCTATTACCTAACGGGCACGTAGACTATCATCATCAAACTGCGTATGCGCTGAGAGCCGCATTGGCTGCGCCCGCCCGGCCGCGCACTTCTGGCCGCAAAAACCTCGGAAGACAAGTACGCATGCGTGGTAGTAAGAAGGCCGACTTTTAAGCGGCGAGCATGCACACTGACCGCACACAGTCTTGCTGTCGCAGTCGCAACCAGCCAGTTTCTTAGTCTCTCCGAGTCCCGCACATCAAGCGTCCCTTCATAATGTTGCAAATGCGTCCTCCGGCCACCTATGGCATCCCTCCTCGTTGTAAGTTCACCCACATTTGTCTATCCATAGCTAATTGGACCATATGGACAGTAAGGCAGTACATCAGTCTAACTACCTAGTTCAATTATGGAGAACCCAGAATAAGCAAGCTATAAGTACAAATACTTAGTATTTTAATGAAAATTTGTTGCTGGGTCCTCTACATTGCAGGCGACTGGGGAGCTCCCCTGCTCCTTTACCTTTGGTGGAGCTTGAGAGAAATATTGAGCATAGATTGAAATTTTACCTGTGCAATCTCTGCTCTGACCATTACTACTATATATGTGTTGTGAAGGGTCTTTTGGTTTTACTTTATGTATATAGATGAAACGGAAGCAAAAAGGAAAATTCAGCAATTACAAGGAGAATATGATGACATCCTTGCTCTTGCAAAAATGGAAATGGCTGAAGTTGAAAATTTGCATTATTCTACCTTGTGCTTTGTGCCTAATCCAAAAAAAGAGCACCAGGAGCTAGTTAAGAAAGCCATTCAAGAAGCCAAATCGAGAGAGGATGACAAAATTGATGTTGGGAAATATCGTTATTTCCTCCATTACCCTATGCTGGAGCACATTATAAAACTCTATGGTAGTCATGAGCTAAAAGAAAAAATGATGGATTACGTCAGTAGAGTGGGTGCTTTTAGAAAAGAAACGAAGCTGTGTATATTTTCAAAGGTTGATGATGGCCCGTCAGCAAGATTCGGCACTACATTGAGTGCCAAACTTGACATGGATTGGACCACTGCTACATTGGACGATGTTGAACAGATTCGCATTCAAATATGTGAAGTAATGGAGTTTTGAAATTGAAAACAGAGCAGTGTCCTCTGTAATGAGTATATACCTTGTTTGAGATAACCAGTTTGGCAAAGGTCTTGTCTTTCTGCAAGAAGGGCTTATACCTGCTCTGAACACCCCTGCAAGGGAACACAAAGTAAAACAAGATTCATCTCCAGAATATGCAGTGCTCTGCTAAGAACACTATAGTAAGCCAAGGAACTGTTTGTTTTGTGCCCTGGGAAATACTAGGAAGGTGAACAAGGGGTAATCCCATATTTAGAGAAATCCGTGACTTCTTTGTGGTAGCTGAGGTGGACAAGTTTTGTTAGGCAAATGTGGTGCCCTTCAGAGAGACACATGACCTGATTGTTGTGGAGTAGCTACACTAGACCACTCCAGTTACATTTTGGAGCCATACATCAGTGCTTAGTGAATATGCATACTTCTACATGTATGCTTCCTTAAACTCACATAGTCTCTGAATTGCATGTATAATAGTACACAGCTATGGCTAGTAGCTAAAATATTCATCTAGACATCTCAATTGCATGATTTCCTATTATACAGCTACAGCTATAGCTACAAGTGGAAAAACCATTTCTTCAAAATGAAAGGGGGATATAGGGATGGCTTGAAGCACCAAAAAGGAAGAAATGAAAAGCACTAAAGTGCAAACCCTCGGCGAACTGCGCATGTGCGGTACCACTAATTGATGGCTGGGCTTTTTATGCCTTTACTCGTGGTATCCCGCTAGTAGCTCGCGGAGAGTCTGGCACGGGCTAGCTACAGTAGTAAATAGCACGCGGGAGTCGATACATGCCCTTCGTTGTGACTTGTTGTGCCTTCAAGACACACTGAGCGAACGGACGCGGTCGAGGTAAACCTGTGCTAATTTGCATATTGGCTTGTTCACTTGGTTTTCACGCCATAACTTTAGAACGCAGTAGTTTTTACGAAAATCGCCTTTTTTAAAATCAACCCAGTGTAGCACTGAACCAGATCATATCGCTATTTACCTGATTTCGTGCGCGCGGTGGCAGAAAACGTGGTAACAGACAGACGGACAGACACACTTACGAAACAATGAAAAGCACTGAAGTGCAAACCCTCGGCGAACTGCGCATGTGCGGCACCACTAATTGATGGGCTGGGCTTTTTAAGCCTTTACTCGTGGTATCCCGCTAGTAGCTCGCGGAGAGTCTGACACGGGCTAGCTACAGTAGTATATAGCATGCGGGAGTCGATACATGCCCTTCGTTGTGACTTGTTGTGCCTTCAAGACACACAGAGCGAACGGACGCGGTTGGGATAAGCCTGTGCTAATTTACATATTGGCTTGTTCACTTGGTTTTCACGCCATAACTTTAACTGCATCTGCTCGTGTTGAATTATTAATTACGAGCAATAAAGCGACACCCCTAACAACGTCATCGGCATACCAGCCAGTAGTAGCTACGTATAGTTGCTGACACTTGCCATAATTAAACTCGCTGCACCAGTGATTGTGGTTTTCAGCTTCAGTGTAAGCGAGCATTCCATCTGCCACACCCATGGGATTAATCATTAGAGTGTTTTTCTCGTAACTGGAAAGCATAGGCAATGGCTACTCGCTCTCTTCCAGAGAAGTATGTATGCATTGATGTCGAATGCGTTGCGACTGGTCGCCGTCATGACGCCCGGTCGGTTGCCCTGGTGGCAATTGTCGATCAAGACGAACGAGTCTTATTGAAAAAGAAAGTTAAACCAAGAGAAACGGTGATGAGCTACCTTACACCATTAACGGGCCTTCGTGAAGGAGACCTGGATGATGGAGAACCGCTAGAGAGTGTACTGGCGGAAGTTAAACGTATTCTGAGTCCCGAAATTGTTCTGGTTGGACAGCTCGTCAAAAATGATGTGCAATGGCTGAAGTTGCGCGAGGGTGAACACTTTTCGTGTACAGTAGACCTCGGAGAGCTTTTCAAGGCCTACAACCATCGCTTTTCAAACTACAACTACTTTCCCCTGAGTCACGAAGCCAACACTCTTCTGTACCAAGGTAACGCTTTTGATTGCTTCCACTTCAGCTAAGGACTATGCATGTTTGTCTACAGGTTTTATTTCTGACGAGCGCGATCAGGTCACAGACGCAAAGGCTAGCGTTCAACTGCTTAAAAAATTTTACGCCGACAGTGGACGGTTGGAGGAAGCTAAGAAGAAATTGCTACGAAATCGTCCTCCTCCATCGTGGGTAAAGCAGAATAACTGCCGCTGGGAAGGAGTTTGCTTGGCGGCCTACTTTCCAGAAAAGTGCTTCTGTGGTGCTCCAACAAAAAAGACTTAAATGACTCACCGTCAAAGTGCTATAAAAGTAAAAGTACTTTAGTATCTTTACTATATATAGTACTATAGGTATCTAACTATGGTAGCTTAGCTATAGACTTTGTTTTAGTGCTAGGGAAGTAGTTAAAGAAGAGTAGCTATTTGTGCAGTTCGCTCATGTCAGCGACAACTCCCACAAAAGAGCTGCCCTAAACCTCAAACCACTGTCCTATGGTATACTCTCACTCAAGTTCCTTTGTAGAGAGGCCTTTGTGATGTTTCAGTTAAGCACAAGAGACTCTATAATTGCAAAGCAATGTAACGGTGGCTGTAGAAGAGTCATCATTGGGGGGAATGATGGTGAGCACCACAAATGGAGAGCTTGCTGCCTACTAGAACCATAGAAGTGTGGCATTTACGATAATCTAAGAGTAGTACACTACAAACAGAGAGCTACTACAATAATTAGAGAAAAATGTGCCACTATTTTAATGGCACGTATACTTCCCAATGAGGATGTAAGAGCGTCGGTAGCTAGACTGGATAGCGCGGGTGAGAATGACTTGCTAGGTCTTAGCTATACACGCTGCCACTGACATCATTGATCCTCGATGCGCGATCCAGCCAGCGAGAGAGCCCTCCTCCATTCGATGGAATTCGCTGCGCTCTTCAGTGACTGTACCTCTTTCCAATATTCCTGCTTTCAAGGAGGACGGCTATTGCAGATAGTCATTATTGTGTGCTCGCTCCCGCTCGCCAAAAATGCCCTGCATTCGCCTATATACTACAACATCCGACAGTTGCCATTCCATACAAAAAAGTTCACAAAGTTCATGCATGTTCAATGGGCCCGCCACGCCAGGACATGACATGTAAACGGACAAAGTTAGGGACTATGACAATAGTTACTAGGAATGCGCACGCGCATATTTTCCTCGCGCCTGCCAGCCAATGCGTAAACAGTCCGACTGAGGCCGCTCGTGCGTGCTCTACTGACTGCGCGCACGGCGGAAGCTAGACTTCCTACGAATGACGGAAGTTACACTTCCTTTTGGTGACTAATTTACATTCCTAACGTGACTAATTTACATTCCCTATGCGTGACTAATTGACATTCTTAAGCGTGACCGACACGTACACGCATATCGCGAGAATACAACCCGGGTGAACGAGCCAGCTCTGGATTCGCACCGATTTGATAGCGGCAGGCGCTCACACACACAACTCCATAGTCTCTCTAAATAGTGTCAATCCATAGGTAGCAGAACTGCGATCTTGCTGACCGGTCTTGTGTATACACCTTGACAGTCATCACACGCACTAGATTATCCTGCCCTGGGTGTGTCTCCAGCACCCTACCGAGGGGCCACTTGGTTGGTGCAATTCCCGATTCCTGCAATACGACCACATCACCAGGCGCCACGTTTCTGGATGGATGTTTCCACTTGTTGTAACCCTCGGCGCGCATGCGCAGCGAGGGTTACAGTAGTCTGTCTGTCCGTCTGTCCGCGCGAGTTCTAGCACTACAGGCTACGAGGCGCCAATGAGTGGCACCAACGGGTTGTGAACGACGAGAAGATTGATATTAGCGTGGCGATTTCCCCGAAACGACTGCGTTCCAGACATATGGCGTGAAAACAAGCGAAAAAGCCAACGCGCGGTCGATCGCGCACGCGCCCTCTCCTGCAGGCTAGCTATATAGCGCGCAGCGTAATGTCAATTAATCGCCGGAGCATGCGCTACGTCACAAGTGGAAAAATCATTTTTTCAAAATGAAGGGGATGGCTTGAAGCACCAAAAAGGAAGAAACAAGGGGTCATTACAGCAAAGATGCACAAAGCTACATGACACCATCCCTATATCTTTGTTCGATATTAAACTTTCCTTACGAACAATAAAACAAAGATATAGGGATGGTGTCATGTAGCTTTGTGCATCTTTGCTGTAATGACCCCTTGTTTCTTCCTTTTTGGTGCTTCAAGCCATCCCTATATCCCCTTCATTTTGAAGAAATGATTTTTCCACTTGTTTCCACTATTTTTTAACAGCTTAAGACAACACTGCATTTTATTGTTACAGTCACTTGTGATGTTCATGGGTATGTTGTAGATAGGTTACCAAGGACAAACTCTAATTGTTGAAAGCTGTAGCTAATGGGCTGCTAGTGCCTGAAGCAGGAGCTACGTAGATACCATATTCACCTCAAGTAATTAGGTAGGATGTTATTATAGGTTATGGCACATGGTTGTGGTTTCATGGGCAGCGGTAATCAGGCTACAACCTAGGGGAGACAAATGGGCCCCTTTTGTGCGCCCAGCAATGCCGGCCAAGTTGCTCCTCGTGTAAATCAACAGCAAAATGCAAGCTAGCCAGTTCGAAATGTGCACACTGACTTACAGAAGGCACTGGAAGCTGAGAGTTCCTCTGCAGGTCGCCTTGTAATACGCGCGCACAGCGCGAACGTCCCTGCCTAGCGCATGCGCGCGGCTTACTGAATGCTGAGTTAATTAGCAGCAAATGGCGTTGTTCAGTGTCGACCATGGAAGAGCTCCACGATCAACGGTAGTGACTTGCGGCAAGAAAGAAACGATCGCTTGATGTCCGTGCACACCTCCGACAAAATTGGAGACGTTCAGTGAAAAAATCAGCGCTTCAACTGGTTCTGGTAAGGAGATAGCGGGTTTACTGAAGAAGAAACCGGAAGATGAAGAATATGATGATGATGACACGAAAATCCAGAAATCGGGTATGAGCGAAGTCTCGCGTGGAGAACTGAAGGTGCATATGAGGTGTTTTGGAACATGTATAGGTAGATATGGGCCCGTAGACTATTGCTAGCGTGTTTTGAAGGCCTAGGGAGTCATTTTGAACGAGTTTTTAGGCGTTTTGTACGCGGATCACGTGAGATTTGACTCGTGCCATCCCTATATAGAGCGTCTACCGACGCTCTAATACGATCCACTCAGTTTGATCTCTGTTCCCTATGGATAAACGATAAACATGATGAGCAAGGTATGTTCGCAATGTAGCATAATAGTTCAGGTGGCGAGCAGTTTGTGGTTGCGGCCTTGCCTTCCCATCTATACAACGTCTGGCGAGAGCATTGAAACACAGAAGAGCAGATAGATTGAATAAAGCAAATATGAGAGCCTCTGAAACACCTGAGCTATTGCTCTAACCGCTAATGCAACTACCCTGTGTTACGGTGGGACTCGTGTTACTGGCTCCGTCGATGACATACGGCCCAGCATACAGCGATGCTACAACTCGCTAGTTTACCGCCGAGGGTTTGCACTTTAGTGCTTTTCATACTTGAGAGGTACTCATTCTGCCAACGCTGCCAGAAATGACGTACCAGACACTGACAAAGATGCCATCGACGGAGTACAGACATCGATTTATAGGAGAACTGAGGATCTGGTAGGGCGGTGATTGGTTTTCCGATCAAGAAGTGGCCAGGTGTGAGTAATTCTATTCCGTCGTCGTCTGGAGAATTGATCGGAACCAATGGACGGCTGTTGAGACATGCCTCCACTTGTATGAGAATCGTTGAGAGTTCTTCGAATGTCAATTTGACTAGAGAGACAACACGCTTTAAATGGTTCTTGACACTTTTCACAGCTGATTCCCATATCCCACCAAAGTGAGGCGATCTTTCTGGAATGTACTTCCATCGTACTCTGAGCAGAACACAATTCGGATATTGCATCTTGAGTGATTTGATGACTGAGAAAAACGTTCAACTCCCTCAGCTCACGATTGGCACCCACGAAATTAGTTCCATGGTCACTCCAGATAAGTTGTGGGTGGCCGCGTTGAGCTGTGAACCTACGCAATGCTGCAATGAAAGCTTCAGTCGTCAGATCTGACACCAACTCCAGATGAACTGCTTTCACTGCCAGACACACGAAAAGACAGATATAGGCTTTCAGAATGGTCGGCTTCTTGACATATCCATATTTGATCTGGGAAGGGTCCTGCATAGTCAACTCCAACCCTTGTGAAGACGGATCCTGGGGTAACCCGTTCAATGAGTAACTGACCGAGTAGCTGACTAGTCGGCTTAACAGTGTGACGTCTGCACGTGATGCATTGTCTAGTGAAAGATCTCACCATTTTGCGGAGACCGGTTATGTGGTACTGTCGGCTTAGAGAGGACATCAAAAGTGTGGGACCAGCGTGCATCAGACGTACATGTTCGCCCTCTGACGATGAGTCTAGTCAGTGGGTGGGATCCATGAAGGATAACCGGGTGCATTTTGGAGTAGGCTAACTTGGAGTGACTCATTCGTCCACCGACTCGTAGGAGGGCTAATGATTGGTCTAGGAAAGGCCGCAGTGGGAGAAAACGATTATTTTTGGGGAGAGGCAGTCCGGTCTTCAGCAGCTCAATTTCCTCAGCGAAGCATTCTCCTTGAACAATGGAGATCCAGTAATTTTCTGCAGAAATCAATTCGGTGACCGTAAGGTGAGGACAACTCTCAGAAGTAGAACTTGGACGGGCGTTCTTGACGAAGCGTAACACCCATGCCGTGATCCGCTTCAGCTTGGTAAAGGTAGAGAAGCGATCGAATGGGATGATTAGTTGAGCTGTTGTCGCAGTCGCCAGATGACAGACATTTCTTTCTTCTTCGGGAACAGTTGTGGACGACAAATTCAACTGATCGGGCCACATTGACGATTCAGACTTCAACCAGGGAGGCCCATCCCACCAGAGCTCGTGTTGCTTCAATTGGGATGGAAACAAACCCCTCGACGCACAATCTGCTGGGTTCTCTGGACCAGGAATGTGCCTCCATCTTTCAGGAGGTAATTGATCGATGATGAGGGACACTCGATTGCCAACGAATGTCTTGAATCTTCTTGGGTTGCCAGACAACCAACCCAGAACGACAGTGCTATCTGTCCACGCAAACACGGACCTTACAGGTATCTTGAGGATCTTCATTGTACGTTGGAGTAACCTGGTGAGAGTTTGAGCTCCACATAACTCTAGTCTTGGTATAGAGAGTCTCTTGATGGGGGAAACTTTCGTTTTGGAGATAACGAGAGAGGTGTGAACTCTTTTAGTCGAGTATTCAATGCGCAGGTAGACGACACCAGCGTAGGCTTCTTCCGAGGCGTCGCTGAATCCATGCAATTGAGTTGATACGATGGTTTCCTTTGAAGGCGAGTAACATCGAGGAATTCGGACCGTCATCAATAGAGGTAGCTCGCTTCTCCATTGGAACCAGTCTTGATAAATGTGTTCGGGGATCGGATCGTCCCAGTCGAGTTTTATTTCCCATAGACGTTGCAGGAGAATCTTCATTTTTATGATGGCTGGAGAGAACCACCCCATGACATCGAATACCTTGGCTACGTCTGAGACCATGCGTCTCTTCGTGATAGTGGTGTCGGGTGAGAATTCAGCGATAGTGAGAC